TTCATGCAAAAACTCCAAAAGAATCCCCTAACCCCTCCAGCCCCCCTCCAACCTCCCAACAAACAAAAAGCTATCTGAAAATATTGCCATGCTAACATATTAACCACAATATAATCATTCATAGAAAAACACCACTCTGATTAAGCAATGGATTAGATGAAACAACACAGGCTGTGATATTGTAAACTCATAGACCACGATAATTTTACATGATAAGCAATTCGGTTCACTCATAGGGTGAAGATTATGGACTAAATGTTGAGAGACAAGGTATGTAAATATAAACTCCATTAACTCATCTCATTGTCATCTAATTACAAAATCTGGAAGCTTTCCAGAACCTGAAAAATGATACAAAATTTGGCATACTCCACTTGAGTTCCAAGAAATGACTTTAAGATGTTTGCGATTGTTAGGTAAGTGTATAAAGTCACTTAAAGGTCAGGAATTGACCTCTTAAATAATAATCACAATTTACATCATAGAAACTCCAGATACGCATTTACTCTAATTAACTCTTAAGACAAGAAACGTGATTTTCTAGCACTTTACGTACACGTTGCTAAAAAAGGGTAAGTTAAGAGACTGAATAAAATGTAAAACAAAGGTAAACTGGTGTAGAGTGGATGGGAACGTCCTCATTTACAAAGACTTAAGGGGGTAAAAATTTTGCCTTGACTCATGAGGAAGCTACAGTCAACAAACAGATTGACAAGCTGTTAACTCACACCTCTGTATCGAGATGCTTTAGCATTTTTCATGGAAAAGGTATTTTACATTAGAAAACAGGAATGGCATTTTATGGGATAGCATTCTCTCCACAGCTGCCAAACAAGCCTGGTCACCACGTGGTGCACAAAGCGTATTTCCCGCTGGCTGTAACTTCACGATGCAGCAGCCCAGAGCAGAAAGCACCCTTCTCCCTGCACCTACCCACTCAGGAGCTGAGGAGAGAACTGGGACACCTACATTCCATGTTCTGGGTGGAGCTAACCTATGGTGCATAGACTGGCTCTAAGTATAACAGTAAGGCCAAGGAGAAGAATACTTAGGACAAAAAACCCACCCACTCCCATTTGCTATTCTTTTCTACTTACATCTAAGGTGATTAGAACATATTGGAAAATTATTAAAGATTACCATTCCCACCTCTGAAATTTAACTTTTTAGTTATAGTCCATGAAAAGAACACCGTAATGTTCAGTGGCAGGACTTAAACCTCTCTAAAAAATAAAAGCACCTGCTCTAATTTTCACAAAATGGCATGAGAAATTTTCCCAATGTGAAACCCAGAGTTCGATGCAAGTAAAGAAGCATCTATAATAATCAGGAGTATTACAGTTAGAGCTCTTTGGAATGTATCTTATACATACAAAGGTAGCACAAATTAAATCCCATGAGAATTCATGAAATAGGCTCTTAAAAGGGAAAGATTGCTAGTGAGTGATAAATGCTGCCATGAGCAAATTAAAGTGATAAATAAATCTTTCCCAACTAACAAAGTCTCTGCTGACAACTCAGCACAGCCTCTGAAATCAAGGTAAAGATCACTCAGTCATGATGATGCAGGATGAAGTGCAGATGAGCGGTACATATGAAAAAAATCTGTAAACCGCTGCAGTTCTAAAACAGTAGATTTATATTACAAAGCAATGTAAATAAATATTGGGCTAGTACAAAAGCTCTTATTTACAGTTTTACAAATGAAATCGTATTCAGTGTAAATGCTGTGTTTTAAAGAACACAGTACTGTATTAGTAAAACGAGTTCTGTTGAGGGGATTACAGTTTCTGTTAGAATCAATGCATAACATATAAAAGATTCAAGTTAACTCTGTTTATAATTTAGTACAGACAAACCCAGTTTCAACCTGGAATGGCATCTGTTAAAGTGCTGAAAAACAGAAAATATTTAGAAAACACTGTACATTATTAAAGCTTTATCAAGTCAGAATGTTAAACTTCTTTCACATTTTTTATCCTTTTGCCACAGGCTTGTGAACAAGATGATTTCTCTCAGCAAAGGAGTAAAAAGAAAGAGGCCACCAGATGCTTAGATGATTTTAGGTTCAGTGAAGTTAGTTTCCTAAAATAATTATCCATCAACCATACCTTCAGGCCTTACAATCTGGTAAGTAATTAAATATTCAGGATAAGCCTAAAAGAGAAAGATTAATTCAAATATTGGTAAACAAATTTTTTGAAACGAGACTTCCCATCAGAGTTCCTAATCTTTGGGAAAGAGGTTCTAAATCAGTGCTGTGGATCAGGATAATGTAAAAGCAGTTTCTCAAAACATCCTTACCTTGATTCCTATCCCTGAGATTCTGAATCAGCAGGTCTGGAAAGAGTACTAAGTATGTGTTTGTCTGTTTTTAATAACTTTGGTGATTCTGATATATAGCCCCAATTCAGAACACAATCTAGAAATGCTTTTGACTGGATCTATGTCACTAAGAGCAAGACGGAATTACACATTTCTTTGCTATTGATAGGTTAACTATTAAATATTGGATTTTGATTAATTGTATTTTAGGAAAGCTGAAAAACTGGCAAAATCTAAATCTGGCCTATATGCTAGATACAATATTATCAATGGTATTTTCCCGATTTTGATAATTTTAAGAGAATCTCCTTGTTTTTAGGAAATACAGTTGAAGTACGCATGTAAGAGAAAAGAAACATGCCTATGTAAAGGAACTGTGCTCTCAAACAGTTAAAAAAAAAAAAAGGAAAAAAGTGTACACACATATTTGGGATAAATAAAAGAGAGAATATTAAAATGTTACATTTGGAAAATCTGGGTAAAGGGCATAAGGGAATTCTCTCTATTATTTCTGCAACTTTCCTGTAGGTCTGAAACTATTTTTAAAAAATTAAAAAGAAATGCATTCCTTAGGGCCACATACCTTCTTAATTTAAGAGATTAATAAGAAGAGGTTGAAGCATGGCTCTAAAGCCTTTTTGAAGATGAACAAATACAACTGAATTACCTGTTCTCCTCTGTAAATAACATATTCAGCTAATGCTAGGCCATTTACACTGGGTCGACCAGTGACTGAATGATGTCCTGGAGGAGAATGTGCCATTTTCATTGCACTAAACTGCAGGAACGATTTTCCCAAGGTTACACGGCAAAAGAGCAGCTGCCTATAATGTGAAAAGGAAAAGATCACTCTGAAGACAAGGTAGCGTATGACAGTTTTATTTCTGTACACTGTGTAAGCTTTTTAATGCATTTATACATAAGTTCTTACGATTTATCACTTCACCCCTAAAATAAATTTATTAGAATGTCTACTAATATTCTCATTAATAAAAGAATTTGTCATTTTAATTAACTATAAAACCTGAAAATGTGATAACCTTATAGATATGCAGACTCAGCTGTCCTGTTTGTATCCAAGTAAAAGCACAATCACAGCCCAAGTGGGAAGGAGGATATTTAAGGGGATTCCATGATGTGTCTTGCAAAGGGGACATTTTTCTAAGTCTAGTGAATTTCACTTACAAAATTTATTTGAAATCCATTCTCCTCTCTTAAATTTTCACCTGGACTATAACAACGGCCTCTACACTAGTCTTCCTTTTTCCTACTCTAATTCATATCTAAACTACTTTCCATCCAAGCCACCAGTGATTTAGGAAAGAGACAACAAAAACCCAAAAACATAAATCAGGTCACATAAATTTTCTGCTTAAATCCTTCTAGATGCTGCTCACTGTACTTAGAGTATCTAAAGTCCTTACAATGGCTCCAAATTCTTTAATCTTATCTTGTGTTCTTCATGTCCCAGACACATTCTTTCTTAATGTAGGTTAAACCTTCTCACCCCTTAGCCTTCGTACATCCTATACATCCTATAATGGCATCTCTCTACTCTTCAACTGGCCAACACTCATTTTGCAGATTTCAGCTGAAATGTTACTTCCTCAGCTAGGTCTTCTCTTACCTAAAGTTTGAGTAGGTTACTCTTCTGTTCCCCTCAGGCATATGATTGGCCTTTCTTAGATCCAATGAACTGGCTCTCCCACCCTCCCTTTAGTTACTTCACTGTTTTATCTCTTTTCTTTTTTAGAGGAGAAAAAAAGATTTTTGTGAATCAGTTAATGACTCTATTTTTCAAAGGAATGCTTTCTATACTTTTTATTCTAAATGTGCCTGTTGGAAACCTTAGCATTTCTAAGAGATTTTCTATTATAGTCACAATCAGTTCCGCGATAATCTAGAATACAGAAGTCTTAAATTTCCAAACAATCAAACGTTCTGCTCCAAAGACAGTTTAGAATCGGTACTAGAACACTGCTTATTACGAATAACCAGAACTATTTAGCCTTCAGAAAATATAACAAGTAAAAACAGTAGTGTCCAACTTACAGACTCTCAAGAAATTATAAGCTTCCTAATGAGTCCAATTTATGATCTAACATCGTAAATGGGTAGATGGTCATACCCAGAAGGGCTGATTTCAAACACCTATACAAATCTAAATTTAGGGGGAAAACAACAACAAGAACAAAACAAAACAAGGATGTTTCTCTCCAGGGTTATAGTTCTTCACCTTAGGAACCTTTCAAAATCAGCTGGGAGGCCTTTAAAAATCCAAGTGCCCAGACCATACCCCAGAGACCAATTAGAGAATGTCTGAGGGTGGGACGCAGACAGTTTTGAACGTCTCCTGGGTGATTCCAATATGATGCCAAGACTGAGAGCAAGTCCTCTAGGGTTTTTCCTAGGTCATTGATCAGAAGCATCAGTAACACCTGAGAATTTGGTAAAAATTCAAGTTCTAGGGCCCCATGCCCAATCTAGTAAATCAGCAACTCAGAAGGTAGGGCCTAGTAATCTGCATTTCAACTAGCCTTATAGATGATTCTGAATCTTGCTCATGTTTGATAAACTACTGCTCCCTATCTTTATAAGCAGTGCCCTAATGTAGGATAATCTCAATAATTAATCTTACTCGAGTTTTCAGATTTCAAAAGATAGTTTTACTTATGAGGAGTTTATCAATTAGAGCCAAGTTAGTGTGTCATCCTTGCTGGGGCCATGTTAATTTTCCCTGTATCATTCCAATTTTAGTATACGTGTTGCTGAAATGAGCACATAAAGTGGTTATTTGATAATGATGTAATTTCTAAAGGACTGATGTGCTTTATTATAACTTTTTAAGTACTAAAATCACAAATTGAGGATTAGGATCATATCAAAATGGAGGAGAGAGACTCCCTCATGCATTGCCATGAAATAATTAGGCTTTGTAAGTAATACCATTTTAGCACATGATTACCAGAATTTTTTAAAATAGTGCACAGTCCTACAATATACAAGAGCCACAATGAAATCTCTTTCATGTCCAATGAGATGTTCTACTCCATAGTCTTTAAAGCACCAAACATACTAATGATTAAATGAATTAAACAGATCAAGTGCTTAAAACTGTACTTGGCCTATAAAAACCATTAGATAAATACTAGCTATTGTAACTGGTGAGAGGGCCAAAAGCAACCCAAAACACACCCATCTTGGATTCCTAAGACTGTACAAGATAATGCTTTGCCCCCTAAAATTTTGAAATATGAGACTAGTCCTTACCCAATTCTTATCAAAATAAATGTGAACAAGTGATCTCTTACCTGTGGCAAATGTAACAAGATCTGTCTTTGTGAACTGGACACCCAGTACCTCCTCCAATCCCGTACACATATTGGTTGCTTTTGGAAGAGTTTTCAGCAAAATAAATCCCAGCTCCAAACATGCCGCCTATGTAGGCATGCCTTTCATCGAAGCCTTTATGGATAATTGCATTTACAAAGGGAGACCCTAAAATACATACAGATGAATTAACAATTTAAATTTATCTTAGAAAAAGAACAAAAACTAAAGCCTCTTACAAGTTAAATTATTAAACATATATACACAACCACTACAATTCAACAAAATCAGAAAACAAGGCTAATAAATTAACTGTCACCCAGTTCACTACTTTAGAATAAATATTTTAGAGGAACTGAGAGAGTCAATGTTCTAAAAAGGTGGTGGTGATTCAGCTGTCAAAATAAAGACATATACAGATTTAATTAGAAGGATAAACAGATCTCTTGAAATATCAATGCTAGAGTTATCAAATTCCAGACCCTAAATCCATACAAATCAGAACAGTCTTATAATTCACCTCATATAGCAAAGCTGAATTAATTATGTCTTAAAAGAACACCTATATCTATGTACTTTTTTTAGATATCTAAAGTGTCCAAAGTTGTCTTTTCACGTTCATTCTCTTTATACCTCATCTCTCCTATCCTTCCAATGCTCTTTCATCACCTGCTTTAACAGATTCCATCTGCAAATGTGGTGTGCCTTCATTCCCAGAATATTGACTTCTTTCTCCTTCTTCCTTGCATGTATGCAAAGAAGGTGAGCTTACCCAAAGGGGAGGAGGTACTGAGCATGGGAACCAGGCTAAGCAGTGGGTCAGGGTGGGAGCTGGGAAAAGCCAATATAACATAACTAGCTGATTCATCAACATCAGTCTTCCTGCTCATAAAGGGACAGGAAAACACAACAAATTCCACTTTACAGACATACTGAAGAACAGAATCGCTTATTTGAAATAAGAAAAACCAAACCCATTAAAATAGAAAAACCATTCTTTATAACCATTAAGTCAATACATAAATATTTTGCTTTGTGCCAAGAGAGTATCATAGTAATTTTTAAGGTTTTGGAATGAGAAATACCATTTAGATATTATGCCCCATTTCAGACTGTAGTAGCCATTCTTCTAAGGATTGTGAAATTTCAATAGAACTTTACAGGTCTCTAAAAATTTTCTGCAATCAAGGTCAAATGAAGGAACAGATTTGAGATACTATGAGTAATGTGCTTAAAGACTTGACAAATACTACATTAATATTTATATTCATATTTACTATAAGTTTGAAAGCCCAATCAACGCCTGTCAACTTGCAACACAAAAACCCCAGAAATGTCAACAATGGTAAGTAACAGTGCTCTCAATCTAAACAAAGTTCTCAGAAAACATAAAAGTTCAACGACAATAGCTCTTGACAATAAAGTTAAGTGTAGTTTTGACACAGAGTCAATGCAAGAATAGAATGCATACATTCTTCTGAGGAGATTTCTAGATCTTATTTTAATTTTAACTCAATCAACTGGTTAAAAATAAAACAATTTCTCAGAGTGATAATAATAAGCAAAATCTATTATAAAAAGAAAAAAGGAAAGTATGAATAGTCAACATTCCCATGTCTACATTTTTTCTATTATGGTAATTCTATTTATAAACTATTCATTGTAAAATATACAAATTCAAAAGAGGTTGAAAATACAAATGTAAATGTAAAATTCACAGAAATAATGTTTATTTTTAAAAAATGACATGAGCATTGTGACTGATGGGGCTCAGGTGGTTGCACGTTGTCCCACAAGTGAAAGGTCTCCAGTTTGATTCCCTGTCAGGGCAACATGTCTGGGTTGTGGGTTCAGTCCTTGGTCAGGGCGTGTAAGGCAACTGATTGATGTTTCTTTCTCACATCAATGTTTTTCCCCCTTTCTTCCTCCCTCCCTTCCCTTCTCTCTAAAAGCAAATAAATAAAATCTTAAAAAAAAAATGACACTAGAACTATACAGATTCATTATTATTTCATACCTAACAAAAAACTATTCTTTTTAAAATTTTTTTTAATTTTTAGTTTTGATTCTAGAGAAAGGGAGAGAGCCTATGGCCATACTACCCTGAAAGCGCCCGATCTCATCTGATCTTGCAAGCTAAGCAGGGCCAGGCCTGGTTAGTACTTGGATGGGAGAAAGGGATAGAAACATCAATGTGAGAGAGAAACATCGACTGCCTTCCATATGCACCCTGACTGGGTACCAAAACTGCAACCGAGGCATGTGCTCTGACCAGGAATTGAATGGGTGACCTTTTGGTTTGCAGGACGAAGCCCAACCAACTAAGCCATAGCGGCTGGGGTCATACCTGACAAAAACTATTCCAACATGGAGAATGGCAGTAGCTAGGGGAAAGGAATCTTACCATGAAATAGCATTCTTTCATTTGCATGGTTGTGGTTTTCTTCAGAAACTTCTTTTCTCCTGTGAGTATACCTTTCCCATAGTTTCTTGTTACATACTTTCTGAATCTATAAAAAAGAAAACAGAAAAATCCTATCTTTTGCTCATAGTAATTACTTACCTTCTTGTTTATCTTAACCAAAAATAGGCCACATACCCAGAAGAGACAAAACTTTTCTCTAAAATATAAACTTTGTGTTATTTTAGTCAACTAAAAATACTTTTTCCCAACCATAAAGATGGAAATATAGTTACATTTTGGAAATGGAAAACATCAAAGGGAAAAAAGCTATATATGGCCATATATAAAAGTCAATAATACCATTAATTGATTAAAATACTTCCAATCTCATTAATTCACAGTTATTAGTAAATACCTCCAAATCAGAGATGTTGAGTTCTCTGAGATGTATGTATTTAAAAAAAAAATTATATTTTTTCCTCCTGATTTTTCTGGCACGAAGTACCATCTTTATCTGTTTTTAATAATATTTGAAATAGCCAAACCAAAAGCTATTCTTAAAATGTATACACACATACCCCCTATTACTTGTTCTACCTTCCCCAATCCCTCCAGTTTCTAAAATTTTTGTCTGGAGAAGAGTTAAAGATGGATGCTGATCTCATTTGGAGTATTTATAAGGTCAAATCTAGAGCTGTTTCTTAGCTGTGTTTAAAGGAGTTACAGCCCCCTGCTGGCCCTAGAGCAAATCTGAGGGCTCAAAATAATTCAATATACTGCCAGAGACAAAATTAACGAACACAACTGGCACAAAGAGATCTCATTTAGGTAAAAAAGTAACAAAAATAAAAGTCCTATCATTGAAAAAGTTTTTATTAAATATTGCATTGAAGTGCTACTACAGAGGAAGAAAGAGCGTATCTTTCTCAAATTCAACTAGAGGCATACCTGAGAGATATCGTGGATTTGGTTCCAGACCATAATAAAGTATTGTAACAAAGAGAGTTGTAATATTTTTGTTGGTGGAGGGTCCTGCCTTCAATTAAATAAACGCAAAATCTGTGAAGCTCAATAAACTGAAGCACAATACAGCAAGATATGCCTGTATTTTGGAAATCAAATGCATATTCTTTCTCCTGCCCTCGTTCTTAAGAAATTGTTTGCTACTGTTTGTAGGCAAAGTAGATTTGACTGAAAATTTGCCTATATAGGCATAATTATGTCTTATTAAAAATTTGTATGTCCACGAATGGAAATAAAGATGTCATTCTTATGTCATACTATGATATAAATAAAAAGGAACATGAATAAGTATGATCCTTTACCTGAATAATGTGTTTGCTTTAAATCATCTAATTTCTAATAGTATGAACACAGCAATATCAACATATAGTTTTAGTATTCACTAACTCTAAAACATGACATCTAATATTATATCATAATAGTACATTATTGTGAAACAGTAATCCAACAGCTGAAAGATGATGCTGTTCACTTTTGAGGTTAAAATTTAGGTATTAGATATTTGTCACACTTTAATTCTAGCCATCTTATTTTTATAGTGATTAAGCAGATATCAATGTAGTTATTACAAAATCATGCATCTCAAGTAGACTGTACAGCTCTGCTTGCTATATATAGGTCAAGAAAAACAGAGCGAAGTTGGAAAAGGTCCTGATAAGAGTAACTGGTATCAATAAAGAGACAGGACTCTCATTAGAATGACTTAAAATATTTTTAAAAGCCTGTGTTTGGAAAAGATAAAGGTATCAAGGGAATACTATTAAAATCATAGAAAAGTGATATGTACACTGACTCATAGAAACCTAGTCAGGACAAATTAAAAAAGCATAACTATATAGATGAAGTCCTTTTATAAGCCACAACAAAAATTCAGCTTTGTTACTACAGAGTGCCTTATAGTTTATATGAAATCCTAAATCTACAGGACTTATCATTACCCCAAGATAAAGCATAATCCCTAAACTTGAATATGTTCAACAAGCACTGACTTACTGGTTAAAAAATAATATAGGGTTTTCAGAAT